ATATATATATATATATATATATATATTTACAACTTGAGCAATGCAACATACTAAACACCAATTGCTTGTCCATGGATAATATTGAAGGCATTTATGAAGACTTGGGTAGCGGCATGCAGAAACTCAAACGCGCCAGCAAAGATTGTGATTCCTACAGGAGCATTTTTGGTGGGACCTGTTGTGTTCCAAGGGCCATGTAAAAGCTCGGAGCCAATAGTTATTGAGGTTCAGGGTACTGTGAAGGCCACGACCGACGTCAGTGACTACTCTTCCCCGGAATGGTTCTCCTTTGAATTCGTCAATGGATTGGTTCTCACCGGCAAAGGAACTTTCGACGGCCAAGGGCCGAAGGTTTGGCATTACAATGACTGCAAGACAAACCCCAACTGCCAACATCTCGCATCCGTAAGCTAGCACTTGCAATAATTTAATTTTTATAATCAGTAGTCCGATCATATTAAAATCATATCAAAATTTAAATAAAAAAAAACGATCCATCTCACCTATATCTCAAGAATTATAGTGTCATTCTCATTTTGTTTCTCAAAAACTATAAAAATGTAACTTTATTTCTTGAATTTTGGATGAGTCCATGTTAATCCATCTACTAGAATTTTTAGAAAAAACAACAAACAGTTAAAAGAGGAGGTTGAGTGTGGTCACATGACATTTTTCTGTTTATTTTTAATAGAAATTGTAACAATAAAATCATGATCTCACTTAACTCTCTCTATCTTTGTATGTTCTTAACGAAAATTCTAAAAGATGGAGTTAAATGAGACTAATTCACAATTTATTAAGAGTGAAATGAGAGATTTTAAAAGTCAAAAAGTAAAGTGAGAATGACATCGAAATTTACAGACACAAGTGAAATAATCCTTAAAATAAATATAACAACAAACTAATGATTAATGATCACGTAAAAAAAATTAATGTTGTAATAATAATTGGATTTCTTTTTTATGTATTGCAGTCACTGAGGTTTAGTAATGTGAACAACGCATATGTTGAGGGGATCACATCCTTGAACAGCAAATGGTTCCACTTTTTCATTTATGAGAGCAAAAACATTACTCTCAATAATGTTAAGATAACCGCTCCAGCTGAAAGCCCAAACACCGACGGCATTCATATAAGCGCTTCGACTTCTGTCAATGTTACTAATACCGCCATTGCAACCGGTGATGACTGCATTGGCATAGTTCAAGACTGCCACAATATCTACATCACTAACGTCACTTGTGGTCCAGGACATGGCATTAGGTAATTCACACCCACTTGAATAGAGTTCAAATATTAAAACATGAAAAAGTCGATTAAAATGTATCTCAAATATTTTAAATGATGTGTTATAATGTGGTTGATTAGATACCGTTATACTTGTAGATTTTGACAATATTTTCAATTGTTTTTCAAAATTTATACATCTCTTCTAGTTTTGAATATGATTATATGGGCTAATCATGTGCCATATTTTTGGGTGGTTCTGGGACAGTGTTGGTAGCCTTGGAAAATGGTCTTACGACAAGGGTGTCAGCAACATCGTTGTAAGAAACTGCACATTAGTTAACACAACGAATGGTGCCAGAATCAAGACTTGGGGTGGGACAACTTCAGGTGAAGCGACTGGCATCATCTATGAAAATATTGTAATGAAGAATGTGAAAAACCCCATCATCATTGATCAGAACTACGGTCGCAAAAACCAAGTAAGTCCAGTAATTAGTTTCAAAAACCAAAATCGTGTTTGATTGGTAGGTCTTGACCCATGCATAACAAAAAATTTCACTGCACGTTTGTTTCACGTGTCTGAAACTATGATTCTAATTATGCTAAAATATTATTCTTTCACAAAAAATTTAAATAAAAAAAAATTCACACCAATAATTTTCTCACAAAATTTAAACTCAGAATCAAATTTATTGACTTAAACGCGTTAACCAAACGAGCCATCAGTATTCAAAAACCCCCAAATTTATGATTTGCTCTTGACAATTTGAACGTTTCTGTTATAGTAAAAAAAAAAA